CTAATTAGTCAAGGACATTCAAACAGATAGCAAACAAATATTTTAACCATTTTTTGTTTGCAAAGCAGAGTTGGCTTTGAATCTCCTGATCCCAAAAAAATATCGGACAAAAGTTTCAAAATTGTGATTGTTTGGCATTTTCAAAATGGAAACAAAAGCAGTTTTTTTGTTCTTGCATAGACGGATTTACTTATTCAGCAGATGAGACTAACATCAATTACTCAGAAGTGGAAAGTTCATCAGGACAGTCTCACCATGCAGTTGCCTCCAGGGTTGGACAATTCACCGCTTCAGCTTCCCTTTGTTACACAGGACTTATTTATAATTTATCATCTTTTCTTATACATCTGTATTCGGCCATGTCTACACTTACAAGTTTACAACGGCACTTATACAGTTGTGCCACTGTAAGAGCACTCGTGTAGCCGCTCTATGCTGACGGGAGAGAGCTCTCCCATTGACATAATAAAACCAGCTCAATGAGTGGCGGTAGCTGTGTCAGCAGGGGAGCATCTCCTGCTGACATAGCGCTGTGCACATAAGTGTTGCTGGTATAAGCATTCATGTTGCTCAGGGATGTGTTGTTTTTTCCCCATGCCCCTGAGGGACAAGTTTTGCTGACATAATTGCTAGTGTAGACATGTTCTTAGTCTCTCATTTCCATCTCAATTCTCCACCTCCATCAGTGCATATTTTGTGTTAGATCAGACCAGTTTCTTCAGGCTCTGTGGCCGCTTCAACTTTTATTTTCCTCACAAACATGATTTTTCTGCAGTTTCTTACAGATGTGCAGTTCTACTTATGCTGCTAAACTTTATCAGCACAGATTCTTAAAATTCACAGCAGCCTTGTATCAGGCCTAAACATGGCTTCCCTCCCAACAATGACTTCCAGTTTCAAAACTTGAGTAAATTTAGACTAAAAAAACAGATTAAAAAAAAAGTTTAAATTGAAATTAAATGTTTTGAAATTATTGAAACAAGTTGTCTCAGGATGGATAAGAAGTTTTCTGCCTAGCTTTATTTACATCCTATTATAGGGAGAAAGTTCACTGAGTAAGAAGTCATTTTAAAACACTCACATTAGAAATACACTTTGATGGGCTACTTAAGCCTTAAGAAAGAAGCTCTACTGTCATTCTTTCCTTGTTGTAGGAGGGAGGTGTCCTCCCTCTCTCCCAGCCCCAGATCTCTGCAGCTATGGGGTTGGATGCTGGGGGGTGGTGGATTTTCCCCCCAAGTGAAACTTACCCTTATTTCTTCTCTTGTTTTATTCTCCTTCTCTGACAACATTCAAGTGCAACTGTGAAAGCTGAACTGCACTGTAATATGGTACAATACCGTTTATATAATAAAATCCTGGCTTGTTTTCCATCAATTTCCTGCTGGACTGATTGTGACATCCTATATACCCTAGTCAAAATTTTATGCTCTATAGATGTCAAATGTGGATTTTTTTTTTAATGGTGACCAACTGACATGGAAACAGGAAAAATGCTGTCTTACCAGCAAGATTGTTTCAGTACTTTGTGCAGCTCGCTGAGGGTGTTGCCTTAAGAAAGCCATATACTGCAGCAAGTGATATTCAGTAAGCACAATTTGTCTGCCAATTCTTCCATCTCCTTCCCAAGGAAAATGATTGAATATGATTTTCTCAATGTTTCTCTGAGCAAAAATCAGTGGGCCAGATTCTCAATAGGCAAAAATCTGTAGAAATTCTCTCTAATAGTGTGGAAATCGATATGCAGAAATGTGACTTGGTATCCAAGATAAACGTAACTGGTGTAAGATACATTGTTTAAAGTTTGTCTTATGATCTCCTGCACTTAGAACCTGATTCTGACACCTTGCTCACATTGAGTAGTATCTTGCTCTGAGAAATCATCCCATTCAAATCAGTGAGACCTCTCATGGAGTAAGTTACTGCTCAGAACATATGTGGGAAGCAAAATCTGGCAGTAAGTATTTTCTGCAGTATCTGAGTCCTGCATAGCCATCAGTCCAAACTTAGAATTCAATAACAGAAGGCCTTTTAACTCATGTTTTTTCATTCAACATATAATTTTTTTTTACCTCCTATATATGTTTTTTCCCCAGGGAATTACCATACCTCCATAATGGACAGGCTACAGTTTCTCATGTTGTCCCTGGCACAAAGGCTTATAAGATACAGATTTAATCGTAGTCAATGTCCTGATAACACATTATAATACATTCAGTTTAATTTTGACCTGATCAATGCTCACCCTAACTAAATCGATGACTGCTTTGAATTTTCTTTAAGAACTCTTAACTGGTGGCACTTATGCTGATGAAACACTTATAAATAAATGCTAACATCAGTGAATTTATATTACATGCATTATTTGGTACCAACAGCTGGTCTAATTATTATTCAGATAAAGGTGTAATAATTATATATTGCGGTGTTGATGCCCACTTTCAGTTTTCTCCTACTTTCCAAATGTCTTAACTGAAACATAACATACTGCACAAAGTCTCAGTCCCAGGAAGAATTTGCAAAATGTCAGAAGAACCAGAAGAGCCATATGTTTGTTTAAAGAATGGATGCTTAATGGAACACAGAAGCACTACCCAACATTTTCAATGTAAAGAAGGCTCGGGTGTCCAATTGAAATCACAGGAGAAAACTTAGTTGAGTACAGTATAATTACCCAAGCTAGAGTATGACCAGAATATTAGGGGAAATAACACTTCTACTCTTTCCAAAAGGGCCAGGGAACTTTTAATGACCAGAAGTGATCTGAACCTTACAGTCTGGAGGACTCATCTAAAAGATGACTTATCCAGAACCATGGGCAAGGTGGTTGAGGCACCATTGCACTTTAAACAACAGTGTCAGAAAGTGGAAATAATATAAAGCCGAATCATGGCTTTGCTACAAGACCCAAACCATGGTGGTGTGCTGCCCCTGGAGAAGCCTGTGAATGAGACTGTAACTGAGTCACAGTTTCCGCCCATTGCTCCAAGGAGGGAGCAAATTGCACCAGGTCTATACCCAGCGTGGTGCTGGTGTGCCAGCACAGGTACATTGGTTAATGCATTGAGGGGGGCAGAGGGCTTGGTTCTGCTGAGTCCCCACCCCTGATGCCCAGCTGCATGATGGATGAATATAGGGACTCTGCAGAGCCTGCTTCCCCTCCCACATTGTTGTATGTGATGTGGGTAGCCATTCCTCTGGGTGCGCCTGTGAAGCCAGTTTCCTTTACAGCACTTCCTTTGGCCTCCCAACTCCTTAGGCCCACTTATGTTCCCCCATGCAAGACACAATATGTTGAGGGAGGAGGGCACAAGGAGCCTTTTATCCTCTTTGCACCCCTGCATAGGGGCCAGCTGCTCCATACTAATGTCACCAATGGAGAAGAGGAAGGGCAGTGTGAAGGAGGAACCATTGCCATGCCCTCCCCCACTGCACCAACCAGGAAATGGAAGCACCTTGTCAGAGGGGGCTGGATGGCCCCTGAGAGGGTCAGGCACCCAGCCTATCTGTGACAGGGTCTGCTAAGGAGAGTGAGACAACTATCCACTTGTGGATAGTTAATTGCCTAAATAGTTGGGCTGCTGTTAGTTAAGTAAGGAGCACCTGGGCCTAAAAAAGGCTTATGAGAGCTCAGTCAGGGTTTGTGCATATGAATTATGATACAATCAGATCCCGGTAGTCACAAATTGGGCATCCAAAAACTGTAAACCTTTGGCAATAATGTCTCTGTGCCTCATTTTCCCAGCTGTAAAATGGGAATAATAACCCCTCATCTTGGAAAAATGAGCCAGCTATGGCTAGTAGCCTTTAACAGTCCCTGCAAATATGTGATGTCACATCTTTGTGGTTATATCACCATATCCATGAAATGTCACACACTCTCAGGTATGCAGGTGCTGGAACTACCGCTGAGACAAAGGCAAACTCAGGCCTGGTAGAAACCCAGTGGTGTAAGCCCACTGGAATCGGTGGACATTAAAATTGTATGTCTAGTAGAATACCAGGGATGAATGTGGCCTAGCATGTTCAATTACTGGGTAAGGAGAATTTCCCTAATTTGATTTCAAACAATTTATCTGACACTGATGGCATTTGCAGGAAGTCCTGTGACCATCCTCAGCTGGAATGAGACATGTCAAGATACAAAGGCTGTAGAGTGGAGTAGTGAGATAGGGAAATTGGTGCTCCCTCTCTGGGAGAAAACTTTCATTTAACTTAGGAGCTTTCTTGTTTATAGTATCATGTTGCTGTACCTTGAGTAGTACTGTAGACAGAATCCCAGTACAAAAGTACAGTGCAGCTCAGTACTTTGCAGCAACTATTAGTCAGCTCCATACCTGTTTAAGCTAGCTGGAGTCTTTGCATATATCTCAGAGGGAGCTGGATCAGGCCCAGGGCTGGCTCCAGGGTTTTGGCCGCCCCAAGCAGCCAAAAAAAAAAAAAAAAAAAAGAACCGCGATCGCGATCTGCGGCGGCAATTCGGCGGAAGGTCCTTCTCTCCGAGCGGGAGTGAGGGACCGTCCACCAAATTGCTGCCGAATCGCTGGACCTACCGCCCCTCTCCGGAGTGGCCACCCCAAGCACCTGCTTGACAAGCTGGTGCCTGGAGCCGGCCCTGATCAGGCCCCATGCCTGTAAATGTGTATCATGCACTCAACGGTATACATTATATATGCGCCTTTGGACCTTAGCACCTGTTTTACTGAGAGGGACTGCTGGCCAGACTTTGTTCTTTATTCTTTTATAAAGGTGTTATGGAATCTTTAGATTCCACCAGGACAGCCACCAGAGATGGGCAGAATGGATTTTGCTTTAACAACTCATTTCATCTCAAGGCCACGCATGAGTAGGCAAGCAAACTCTGATGAGATAGTTATAAAATATTGCTCCTTTTTTAAAATGCATTTTATAATGCGTCTTAAAAAAATGAATTTACATAAGGTGGCTAGCCTGTGCTGGTGCTCACTGCTGCTCACACTACAGTACTATTGTTAGCATGCTAGCTTGATGAGACCTAACACCAGTAAGTTTATTCAAGCTGGGAATCCCACTGCTAGCTCCACATGAAGACATAGCCAGCATATTAATGGGGGAGTGCATGACCATTAATCTCAAACACAAAAGGTGAGTTAAAGATTCTGGTTTATTAATGAAGGAAATATAAACATGCTGGGCTGCAATCTTTTCTACACCTCAAGTTTTACAATAAAAAAGTCACCTCTGATGCAACACTCTTTAAAAATAAAACTGAAATGTTTATATATCTGTCTAGGTATCTATATCATGCTTGTCACCATCATATCTGAGTGTGTCTCCTTGAGCTTTCTGTTTTCATTAACATAAATATTACTTCTCTGACTGTTGTAGGTTGTGTCCTTGACCTTTAAATCTGCTATTTTGTCTATTTTAAAAGAACCTTTTGCTGTGTTAACTGAGCCTCTCCAAACTCCTCTCTAGAAGTATTTATATCCAAGATCTGTGAACAAGTTGCACTTCTTGAGCTCAGCTTTGAATAATACTTGTCTTCTTAAATATGCATCCAAGTTTAAATCACTTTGCAATTACATCATTATATATTGTTGATGGCACTTTAAGATGTTCTGAAGTGATATTTCCACATTATTTTCTGAAGTTCCTTCTGCATTTAATACTACTGATTTCACTGGAATAATTTGCTTATTCATTAGGCTTCACCTACTGCATTTATTCATATTATAATGTTTCTACAGCAGATCAGTTGCCCTTTAACAAATCCTATTATTGTTAGTTAACTGTTGCTTTATCTTCCAAAGACTGCAAATAAATTCTTGACCTTGTAGTGTTCTGTGTCTGCACAATTGCATTAGCAGATATTATATCCCCTTAAGGTCTTAGATACCATTAGCATGCAGACAATACACTCTTAGTGTTTTTTAAATGTTTCTTTGGCAGGCAGACACTCTCTTAGAGTCAATGTGGGATTAAGCAAAGTGTTCAAGAATGGATGATAGCTTGACCTTAATGCAAATTAGTGGGTTGGCATTGTATCAGCCTTGAAAAATTGTTTGGAGTCCCCTTTTCTTAGAGGGTTATAACCAATACAAACAGGGTCCTCTAAACCTTAGGGATATATTTGATTCTGCTCTATCTTTAAACTATTACTCCAGCCAAATGAGTACAGTAACACTTCTTTCCATTTTGGTAATTTATCTGAAAATCATCTTGGAATAAAACAACAAGGAGTTTTTAAATACTTTAAAGACTAACGGATTTATTTGGGCATAAGCTTTCATGGGTTAAAAAACACTTCTTCAGATACATGGAGTGAAAATTACAGATACAGGCATAAATATCTTGGATTAAGACACTGTAATAACTTGATCGATCTGCAAAATTCATTCATGCCTTTGTCATCACATATGCTGATTATTGTAACTAACTGCAAAATTCATTAATGCCGTTGTCATCACACTTTAGCTGACACCCTCAGCTCAGTTAACTTACTATTTGTTCCTTTGTTTTCTCTGCAGTTCTGATATTGTGGATTGTTCTAATCTGTTGAAGCTCTCTGTTTGGCAAGTAAATCATCCTCTTCCTGTGTCTAGGTAGTTATTTTAGAAAGTCTTTTTACCATAACTGGGAAATTGATATTTATTTCTTGGTAGCATGACTCTGATTCTCTGCTATCTTGTACCTTGTCTCTTCTTTTCCACCTGTGAAAAGTAAGTTCAAAGTGTGTGTAAAATCTTGCCATTTTGATTTCATAGGATTTGACTGCCATATTGTACACACTTTGCTGAGGTGACTGCACAAAATGCCAGACACAAAAGAATCTGGATCCATATATTTCTTCGTTTTATATGGAAAAATATGTAGGAGCAGGATTTTATAATTGTACTATGAGAATTAATGTATGATTTAATTTCATCCTGCCAGCCACCCTTTTTGAATAGCAGAAAGGAATGACAGACCAGAACAATCCTTATGACTGATTATGGTCACCCTTTTGTTTTAGGATAAGTTATAATGTATACTATGGTTTCCTAAATGTATTACAAATTAGGAACTCTAGTTAAATATACATTTCTTTGTTTTAAGGTTTAGTAAGTAAGAGACAGGATCTTGTATTGTATCTATGTTAAGGAAATTAGAGGAATGTTGAGGACCTGAAGCCCCAATGTGAATTGTTTTCGTTATAAGATTTAGCAAGGCTTGATTTACAATGCATTCTGCTGAATATAAAATACTGCTGTCTGTATACCTTTGAAGGTTTCTGTAAGAGATTGTTTGTGTGAATGAGGAATGCATGCATCAGGAAAAGATAAGGTGTGAAAGCCATCACAAATGTCCAGATGGTCAAGAAAAAGTAAGAGACTTGGAAAGACCAGGAGACAATCAGAAAACATAATTGTATCAAATGCTAAACATGTTAGCAGCATTGATGACCTCAGAGGTGAGGCAGGCACCCCTGAAGGCAAGACAACAAATAGGAGATAACGATGGGAAGCCCAACAATAACCATCAAATGATAACAGCAGAAAACCCCAAGATTAACACCACATAAGGACTAATGATTACAGGATGACATTGCAAAATGCATGGACTCAAGTGGGGATTTAAAACTATAAAGCTGGGGTGTTTTGCCATGGAACTCTGGGTTCAGTCTTGCAAAGCCTCGGAGCATCAGATCACGACTGACAGAGCCCAGCTCCTCACTCGTGCTCAATCTAACTGGCCATTAGATTGACTCAAGCTACAACAGACTGGTAACATCAACTGGCAGGACTCTGTGTGTGTGTGTGTGTGTGTGTGTGTGTGTGTGTGTGTGTGTGTGTGTGTGTGTGTGTGTGTGTGTGTAGACGTAAGAAACGT